AGGTTGACTCAGCCTTCCATCCTTCCGAGGTGGGTGAAATGAAGACCCAGACTGTGGGGGCAATTTGCTGACTCAATTTGCTAAAAAAAAATCTGTAAACCGCTTAGAGAGGGCTGAAAGCCCTATGGAGCGGTATATAAGTCTAATAAATAAATAAATAAATAAAATAATTGGGCCAAAGTCACCAAGTTGGCATCTGTGCTTATGCAAATATGAGACACTCAGGTCTCACTAGCTTTAATCCAGCACTTTAACCAATTGGACCTCCAGCAAATATAGGTAAATATAATATAAAACAGAAATTGCATTTTAAATTATGTTTTCACGTATTTTACTTCAATACAAAACCCATTTTTGCAATACAAAGAAATTTGCAGACAAAGAACTTTTTCACTATTATATATTTTAAAGAAAGTTTATTTCCTTCCTTTCAAGAAATTGTTACCACACACAACTGGCAAATCTGATAATAAACAATATACTATGAGTACCTCATCCTTGACTTAAATATTTCCAGAGTGACTCTTTTTTAAAATGATAGCAAAATTGGACTAGTCATTCTGCATAAATCAACTAATTTGAGCAAAGTAATAGACAGTGATATTACAATACCTAAAGATCAACAATAAAAGAGGAAGCTTAGTTTTGATGAAGTGAAGCTTCATATTATGCTTTTATTTTATGTGTAGCTTGCATTAGTTCCTCATGAATCTGCTAATGGAGTCCGAAAATCTATTATTTATTGCAACACCATCTCTGATAGACTTTTAGCAGACAAATCCCTTGTGTTTACAATATTTCTGCATCTAAAACCTCTTAAGCATGGTAGAAATCCTGGATTCCATTTGTGTGATGTGAGATACGTACACACATATTCTCTTTGTGATATATATACATCCACTAAAAGATATATCCCTTACATTTTGGATATATTCTCATTTTATTTTGCATTACAATCTTAAACAACTAACTGGAACACCATTAATATAAAATAGCGGAAATGACTGACCTCCATGTTGTATTTTTCCACTGTTCTCCTCAAAGGATCAACAACTTGCCAACAAATCAAGATGCAAAGATCTATCAGTAGCATTCCTCCAACGATCACCATTAGTTTTTGGTCCTTAATGATCTAGGGAAACAAAATAAAGAAGATTTTACATTGAATTCTGGGGTATTCTAGAGTCTTTGTTAAGAGCCGTAAATCAGACAATGCACAGTTAATGAGGCATTTGAATTATGCATGAATAAGATCTTCATTTACTTGACCATAGTAAAATTCATTCCACAACTTACATTTATTTGATTTTTTTGTTTGCTAGCATGGTCTAAAAAACATTAATATATAAATCAAACACTATGAGGACAATAGAAAAGTTGAATTTAAATACATTCTTCATGAACAGAAAAAACTTTTTTCTTACAATTGAAATAGTTCAGGAAAAAATACAATTAAATTATAAGCCAAGTTCTTTTTGAATTTTTTTCTACCCTTGTACATGACAGTAATGTAAAATAAAAACATATTGACACTGCACTGAAAGAGGACCTCCAATTCTATAAAACAAAATAAGCATTTACTCTCTTGCTATACTGGCCACCGCCTGGACTAGTTTCCACAGTTCTATTGGTAAGATTTTGGAAGTGATTTGCTACTGCCTTCTTCCCAAGGCTGAGAGAAACAACTGACTAGCTCAGAGGTGGGTTCCTACCAGTTCGCACCTATTCGGTAGAACCGGTTCGTCAAATCTACCGAACTGGTTAGAAGAGGTTCCACCAGTGGACCCAGAAAGCAGGCCACACCTACAGAAGAAGTTCCAAAAATTTTTGAAACCCACCACAGGTCCTTAGATATGATTA